CCTCGACAGGCGATCGCGCGTTTTTACATTGTCACACTGCATTTTCAAATTGAGAGCAGAATCACTGCGATTCCACTCACGATTTGAAATGTCCTACTGTGAATTGAGCCTAAGGTATCTCCAAAGATCTTTGTGTACAATTAATGTATTGCCAGTACATGTGACATTTGTTCAACCAAGGGCTCAGAGCTTTAACATAAGCTGCTCAAATGATCAGCTTGTGTTGAAGTAAGAGGGTTACAGACAGCCTGATATGGGACCACTTCTTGTGTTCCTTTGTAACAACCACAGTCTTTTCTCCAAAAACAGAGTGAACTACATGGTCAGATTTGATGCATACCTTGAAAAGTAGGTTTGTATGAAGCGCTGTCAGACTTGATGGCCACACTCATTGCGATAGGATTCAGGGATTGGTGGAATAGGGTCCTCATCAGTGTCTTGAACCTCAATATCCAGGAGCAATCCTTCACAATGGGCTAAGTTATGAAGGATGCAGCAGGGCAAAAACATGTTGCCAACTTTTTCAGGGCTATAGCGCAGAAAACCACCAGTTAGTGAAATACAAGGGAACCTGCTTTTAAGAACCCCAAAGGTCTGCTCAATGACATGTCTTGTCTTAGTATCATAGTAGTGTACAACAGTCTCTCAACTGGAGTGGTCTTCAGGGGTGCCATGGGGAGAACGGCTTACACTTGAGCCCGAGCTCCCAATCCCCAGCCACACTGTATGTCAGCACTGGAAGCCGTCAAACCGCTCAGCAAACTGAAAGCAAAGGGAAGGGGAGTGTCTTCTGTCAGGAATGGTCTCGCCAATGGTGGTGGGACTCACCTGCCTTGTGGGCTGCAGTACCAGGGCTTGCCAGCGGGTGCTCTCAGCAGCCAGAAGCTCACTCCTGCAATCAAGCCATCACCTGAGGCTGACTGTAGGAGGTGTATTTAAGGAATGGCCAGGCCTGCAGTCAGGGCCTTGGTGTATTGTTCCCATGAGCCCCTGTACCTGCATCCTGTCTGCTTCCTGCCTGATCCTGACTCTGCTTAAACTCTGCCTGCTCTGACCTCAGCTACTCCTGACCACTCTTCTGCCTACTCCTTGTACCTGTCTGCCCGTTAGCTACCGACCCGGCCCGCCTTACTACGTTGTTCTCCATATTTATATATCTATATATATATCAGTTAAGGTTTGGGTTTGTTGCACCTTGTTGTACGTATTTGTGTTAGTTTGGGATTGGTTTGTTGCACTGCGTTTGTTTGTGTTGCCCTTAATAAATTATATTGTTTTACATGCTATACCCGAAGTCTGTGTTTCCCTGTATCGGTCCCACACACCTCTGGTCATACCCGGAGCCCTGACAGTCTTCTGTGCTCTCTGCTTCCCCCTAGAGTGCACTACCTGGCTGTGTGATGGAAGCTAAGGTACAGTAACTTTTCATACTGCTGTATACTTGTGTACGTTTGTATATGTGTGTGTGTATATGTATGTGTACATGTATGTTTGTACGTGTGTGTGTGTATGTGTACATGTGTCTTTGTACATGTGTGTGTGTATGTGTGTGTTTGTTTTTTATATGTGTGTATATGTATTTTACTTTTACTCTCGACCCCCTATCCTTGTCCTTTTAGAACTGCCTTTTTAGGACTTGTCCGTAATAACAACAAGGACGGCTGCTCCTCTGAAAAGCAAGCCATGCTCAGATCACTTTTCAGAGGCATTTTACAGGTGGTAAAGAGGCAATATGTTGCCTCTTCACCTCCTAATTTAACCCCATAAAAAGCAGCATCAATCACCCACACCACAACTGCATGCAATGCATACACAGTTGCGGAGTGGTTGTAGTTCAACTCCATTCACCTGGAGGTATACTTCTAGCTGCGGTAACAGCATGTGTATACCCCCAGCTGCTGCTTCTGAACCTCAAGGGGGAGCAGGTTGGGGTGGTAAAAGCAGCTCAATTGCGTGGTTTACCGCCCTCCAACCTCACAGGTGAACAGGCTCTTGGTTCACATCTGTGTGGCTGTGTGCAGTGCAGCCCATTCATTTCAATGGGCTGCCTTACCCGCAGTAATGCAGGTAAAGTCATCCCTGACCTTAGTTTTAAAATTGCACCACACCAAAAACCACCCCACGTTTGCCAATGTATGGGGTACCCCTAAAGAGCAGAGCATTTGTCTGCATGTCAGGAAAGATTGTGATTTTGTGTGCATTCTGCGACACACAGTAACATAAACCAAGCCTTGGACAGGGGGGCTCATGACTGAAGATACTTTTCAAGGGCGCCTCGACCAGAAAAAGGTTTAGAAACACTGGTCTATAATAGTTAGATTCTGCAGATGTTGAGCACTTCAAGGGTGGTGTTAGCAGCCAGGGCAACCAGAATTAATTACAATACAGTTTGAAATTGCCATTTTTTGAACACCAACAGTAGATCACAATAAATGGGTAATACCAGGAATATTTCTTTCCTACATTTTTATTTTCATTGCTAAACATGATTGTAATGGCCTTAGGCCAAATGTAAAGTGGCTTAGTTGGAAATGGTTACACCAGGATGAGTATCTGGTTTAGCCATTTCTTTTCCAGCCAAGACTAACAATTTGCTGCGTATATTTTGTGTGCAAGGTGTGAGGAGTGAACACAGAAGTGCAACATATGAACATATAATTCCACACATGATGTATGTAGAATGCATTGAGACATGTTTGCTAATAAAAAGTGTCCTACCAAGAAGCCAGTCTCTGTTATTCTGTTACTTTCAAAATGGTGGTAGAGCTGTGATTGCCTTAATATGTGTGCATCATGGACAGATCCTGGGAAGCCAGTGACCACATTTCTAATGGACATATTTGCATCAAAGTCAACCTGTATATTTAGTGAGTGTTACCCCTTCCTATTATGGTAGATGTATTCTTTAACAGAGGGTGCAAAAAAAGGCACATGGGAACAGTTGGGTAATATGGCATGACTATGTAGTGTGGTGGACTCCAGAAAAGGTCTCTATTCCCCAAAGAGAAGCATAATAAGGTCCTTAAATAGACAAAATTTAGAGAGCACTTCTACTTCAGGGAAATCTAGCAAGGTGTGCTGCTTAAAGGAAAGTAGACACATCACAACCACCCTTCAACTTCTCCTTAGAATGGCTTGAAACTCAATCAAATTCGCCTCAAAAAGCTCCGTTAAGGATGTAGGGGAGAGGAATGCAATGTACAACTAGAAAATGAGCGTAAACTAGCCAAATGCTCATTAGATTGTGAATTGGCACCCTTTTTTAAACATTTCCATGCCCTGCCCTTTCAGTTGTGATGACCAAAGTAATCACTTCCATAATTACCGCATTGCCTGAACCACTACTTAATTACCACATGCATTTATTTAATTATTTCCATCTGTAAATTGAGTTTTACTGCCTTTTCATACAGTATTTACTGAGTGTTTTGAGCGTTTTGTGCTAAATACTGCAAAATGGTATAATGAATTGACAGTTTTAGGATTGCATTCAATATTTAGGGAAAATGTGTCCAGACATCTAAATACTGCCTGCAATCTGCTTATGTGAATGCAGCCCATAGTCCTTGAAATATATATATATCCCAAAAGAAAAAACATGCAAATTGTCCAAAATGATATTCACAGCCCCAAACACCATCCAATTTTTATGTGATAAGAATCTTCAGAAAGTGCAACACATTTCTTCCATATGCATAAGGAATTCCTATTTTATCCCCCAAACGAAAACAGCACTGATGTGCCTACCACCAAAACTCCTCTTTGGGTGTCCTCTCACCTAGTTTGATGGACCCCACTAACAGGAGGCCAAACTCACTTTATAGTATAAAGATGTATCATAGCTTACATCCACAGCCACTGTTCATACTGGCCACCTGTAGCTCCAATATAAATGGCATAGGAAAGAGAAAGTAAGCACAGACAGCAAACCACTTGTAAAAATACACTCACATGGCAGGAGTAAAAGTGTTTTTTTCACTATATAAAAAGACCTCAGCAAGAATGTGTCTTAGCTACCAACGTAATGATGTCACACCGCCCACTTGACGCATATCACCCAAACAACTTTTTCAAAGGCTCTCACCGAGCTCTGCAGAGTGTAAATTCAGCTCCCTACCCCCTGCTATCTGAATACTCAGATAAGCTGTATAAATGCTGTACTTTGAATGGCTGTAGAGAAGAGAAGACTACATGTACACAGATACAACCTATGTAGGATGATTTGTTTCATCTCTGTGTAGCACATGAGGTCAGTCACTTCACTGAGTATATGGAAGGGTTTACAAACATTTTAACTAATTAGCAGCAATACTCCTTGTTAAATTGCTACTAGGTAGAAAATGTAGCTTTTTAAAAATCATTTAAATTGATCTCCACTTTTGAGAAAAAATGTCAATACCAATGTCAATACCAAACATTTTCAAATGTAACACCTTATCTAATTTTGTTTAGTTGATATCAATATAGATATTCAGTGCCATTTTCTTAAACTGATTGTTAAGCATCTCTTTATTTGTGTAATATTGTTCTAAAGCCATGGTTCTCAACCTTTGGAACCTCAGGACCCACATTTGTCCTTGGTCATAAAGTCACGACCCAAAAATAATTTAATTTCCAAAACATTATAATTTATTCCACAAAACAACTTGTGAAGTATTCTACAATGTATATGCACTTTTTAAATAGTAAACAAACAGCGTCCTTCCAGAATGAATAGTGCAGTAATCGCAGCACTAGTGAAAATGAAAGTGCTGTTGAGGTGAAAACCCAATAAAATAAACATCAATTGAAACATATGAAATTAATTAGAACTAATGGGAAAACTGGGGATGCTTCTTACCCTTGATAAGTGTCTCAAAGTCTAGGGTGATGGTAAACAAAACAACTCTGAGGTCATGTTTAACCACCTCCCGCCTGCCATATATTAATATGACAGATGCAAGGTGGTTCTCTCGTTCTGGGAGGACATCATATGACATCCTCCCATTCTAACCACGCATATGCGGCTCCCAGTGCACGCAGTGCGGCGATCGGCAGTGCGCTGTGTCCCTCGGACACAGCGGATCATCGATCCACAGAAAGAGCCAAAGATGTTGGCTCAGTCATGTGATCAGCTGTGTCCAATCACAGCCGATCACATGTAAGCAGGGAAATGCCAGTTATCAGCATTTCTCTCCTCACGAGCTGTCACGCTGACAGAGGAGAGAAGAGCTGGTAATCAGCATTCCGCGGAGGGGACATGTACACTGATCATCAGAGCACTGATGATCAGTGTGCCCCAGCAGTGCCAGCTGTCAGTGTCCATCAGTGCCAGCTGTCAGTGCTCATCAGTGCCATGTGCCAGTGCCCATCAGTGCCACATATCAGTGCCTACCAGTGCACATCAATGCCACATATCAGTGCCCATCTGAGCTGCCTTTCAGTGTCACCCATCAGTGCCAGTAAGTGCCACCTATCAATGCCAATCAGTGCCACCTATCAGTGCTGCCAATCAGTGCTGCCAATCAGTGGCAGTCAGTGCCGCCTATAAGTGCACATCAGTGTCGCCTATCAGTGCCGCCTATCAGTGCCAGTTAATGCCACCTAACAGTGACAGTCAGTGCCGCCTATCAGTACTGCCTATCAGTGCCACCTATCAGTGCCATATATCAGTGCTGCCTTTCAGTGCCCATCAGTGATGCCTGTCAATGCCCATCAGTGCCACCTACCAGTGCCTCCTCATCAGTGCCCATCAGTGCCACCTATCAGTGTCCATCAGTGCAGCCTATCAGTGCCCATCACTGCAGCCTCATTAACACACATCAGTGAAGGAGAAAAATCACTTATTTACAAAATTTTATAACAAAAACTAAGAAGAAACGTTTTTTTTTTTCCCAAAATTTTCTATGGTTTTGGTTTAAGAAAAAAATAAAAAACCCAAAGTTGATTAAATGCCACCAAAATAAAGCTATATCTGTCACAAAAAAATGACAAAAATTTCATATGGGTACAGTGTTGCATGACCGCGCAATTGTCATTCAAAGTGCAACAGCGCTGAAAGCTGGAAATTGGCCTGGGCAGGAAGGGGGTATAAGTGCCCTGTAGGCTTGTGGTTAATGTTCATTCTTTCCCTTTTCACGCCCTCTCCTATCATGGTTTCCCTCAGTCCTTCCCTTTCATGCACACTTTCAGTCCTTCCCCATCACCTTTGCTTTCCTGTTTTCTTTAACTCCTTTTAAAATTAGCTCTACATCACCCAGCCACAACCCAGGAAAAGTATCTAGCAGAGTCATTCCCTGGAGTCCAGTGGTGCTTTTCTTCCCTCCTGCATAGCTGTCTGGCTGGAAGGAAGTTTAGTGAAAGTAGAAAACCCAAATACTCCTGCACTTAGGGATGGACTCTATGTCATAGGGATCACACAACAAAAGTCTTGGAATATGCACGCCTTGCTGCCCTCAAAGAACCGAGGAGTCCAAAAGTACTAATAGAGAAAAACAAAACAGAGGACGCACCGGCCTTGTGCATTACCTTTAAAAGTATGTTTATTAAATTTAAAAGAAGGTATTCTACTTACAAAAGCCTGTAGGCTCTGAGTAAGAGGCTAATCCTCGAAACTCATTAGCCATTTTGGATGTCCATCACTCTCATCACCATTCAGAAACGCAGTGCGAATTGGACAGAACGGTCTCATATGATGTGCTTATATTCATGTACTTTTGTGAGTAGAATTCCTTCTTTTAAATTTAATAAACATACTTTTATAGGTAATGTACAAGGCCGAAGAGCCCTCTGTTTTGTTTTTCTCTATTAGAAGGAAGTGTAGTTATATGTCGCTTCCACCCAGCGCTACTATGGAGGAAGGAGGAATGAGCTTGAGGGCCTTGTAAGTGCACCATGCGCACCACCTTAATGGGACTGGCTGGCTGCAATGATACAAATAATAGGGCCAGCCATAGTTGAGGTGTTAACATTTATGTTAGGGCGGTTTTTATTAAGCTATGTTGTCAGAGCATTGGATGTTTTAATGGGGCATTAGAAAGACCTGGTGGGCACTTTCCCTGTGGTCCAGTCCACCCCTTACTTTACTTTGTCCATTACTTGAGAAACATGGTTCTAAAGTATCTAAAAGATTAAGCTTTTATTGCAAGGGTTGCCTGAATTGTTTCCATAGATTTAAGTTCACAGTGCTTGGAGAACCTGTGAGCCAATCTCAGGAAGAAGATGATGAGATCTATTTCTTTCTCTCCCTGTGTAAGAAAATGATAGTTCAATTCAAATTGAAGACACTTACCTTTCTACAGTTTTCCTGAAATTAACAGTTATATGAGATGGTCTGCCTTTATTGTCATTACATTGTGTATATCCATGTTGAAATAACAATCATCTTTGATATATTGATCTGGGTCTTATATAATAACATACTCTAATCCAAGTTGTGTGATTTATATGGTAAATTTATAGGTAACAACTTTGGACTAGTGACTAGGAAGATTATAATGCACATGTCTGTATGTTGATGAGTAGGTACGCTTATTTTTCTGTTTGGCATGTTTTGATAGATTTAGTGTGCTCTTCTCCCAGGGATCTCTACCCTGCAAAAACTTTAACCATTTCACATCCAGGATGTTTTACCTCCATTCATGACCAGGGAATTTTTTGCTATTTAGCACTGTGCTGAAAATTTTGAAAGAAAAATGTGTTTTTTTGTTTGACTCTGTTATAACATTTTGCAAATAAGTATTCTTTCTTCATAAATTTAATCCAAAATGTATTCTGCTACATTTCTTTCATGAAAATAACTCAAATTAGCGTTTAGTATATAGTCTGTAGGATAGTTATAGAGTCCACAAACTATGGTATATACAGTATCTGAAAATTACCTTATTTTTTGAGGCTCGAAAACACCAGGATAGTACAAATATCACCCAAATTACCCCTATTTTTGGAAAGTAGACAGTTCAAGGTATTTAGTAAGAGACATGGTGAGTTTTTAAAGTTGTAATTTTTTTGTCACAATTTTTGGGAAAATTAAGAAATGAAATAACATTTGATATTGTTTTTCACTTTTTTTTACATACTGTCACCAGTACAGCGCCATCATATGATTGGTGTGGTGGTGGTCACTGACTGGTGACAGCAGGTAAAAAAAAAATAAAATAAAACTTAATTTTTTAAATTTAATTTGTTAACATTTTTTAAAATGTTTTCCTTTTTCATTTTTTCCCCTTTTTTTATGTACTGCCATCTGAGTAGTTCAGTGTCACCATTGTGAAACTGTACTACACTGGGAGGGTGATCAGAGATTTTTTTTTAACACTATGATTGCTTTTTACAATGATGATCACTGTTACAAAATATTCAATTCTAATACATAGGAGACAAAAATGTATGTCACAGGAAAAAAACTGTTGTATGGCTTATTCCAGGTCATGTAACAGTACTCTGCTATCTGTGAGTGCTCTATGAAGTGCTATGCAAAAAACGCATTGTAGGACTTCGGAGTCTCTACAATAAGCTCCGTACTTTATCAGTAAAACATAATCTGCAGGATCAATGTGGAGTATTCCTAGTGATGCCATGGTGTGCAGAGAGAGTAAAACTCACTCAGTTATAAATAAGTCCCCTAGGTTCCATTTCATAAAATAAAATCTCAAGCCTGCTTAGTTTTCCATTTCTCCATTTTTTTCTTTTTTTGCAGTAAAAATTTGAAAGACAGGCAGGAAACACCTGTGTGCACGAACTGTGATCTCATTAGAAGCAGCACACAAAGTTAAAATGAGATGGCGACATGACATGACTAAATGTGACCAATTAACACTTCTGTCGACTTTCCTTGAAATGGGAGAGCAGTAATAAGCGCATTAGAAGGTTTCCTATACCCGGCATTTTAAAGAATTGCTTCTGTGCTGAATATCCTCACTAAATCATAATCTCTGTAATATATATGGTAATAAGTTCCCCATATGTTCTAAACATACTTATCTTATTGATATATGTTTTAAGTGATCAATTTAATATTCAGCTGTTCAATTGAATAATAACACCCACTCATATCCAAGAAAGTGAATGACAGCTCATTTCTAAAATGTATATCTGTATATATAGATATAAATTAATGTTTTAATATTCTAATTGACAGTACTGTTATCCTTATCAAAAGCTGATTTGCCTCTAGTGTTATAACCCAAAAGAAGAGTTTTATATTTTTCCAGAGATTACGTTTTAAACCAAATTTTTAGTGTGGAGTAATCTGTAAAGAAGATCTGTGTTATAAATCAGTTTAAATCTTTAGATCTGATTACATAGTATATATAAACCTCATCCCAATAGCACCATACAAAAGGAAGAAAAAAAATTCTGTAAAGACTTTACTGGTACAAATAATTTTAAGAAAATGTTCCATTTTATTGTTTAAAACTAGAGATGAGCGAATTATTCAAAAATTCGGTTCGGCTGATTCGCCGAATTCGCCGAATAAATTTGCTTCGAGCCGAATATATTCGCTGCGAATTTAACTTATAAAAAGGGTGTTTCTAGGCTTCAGAGAGCCTTTATATTAGTGCAGAACACTGTACCTTTAATTTAAATGCCCTTGGAGTCTGCTGGGGAAGAGAAATAATACTGTCAGTCAGTATGACATGCAGATGAGTGCCGTCGATCTTAGAATCACCGCACACTTCACTCATTTGGGCAGTCACGGGGCCAAAACCAGAGTGTGGAGCCACAGTGTGGCGGTGGAGGCAGCAGCAATGGTAGGCCATACAGCACCCTATGACAAAATGGAACCCACCAGCAGTGTGAGGAGACCTGAAAGTGGCACATGGCAGAGTGTGGCGATGGAGACAGCAGCAATGGGAGGCCGTACAGGGACCCATGACACACTCTGGACCTGGCAGCAGAATGAGGAGGCGGTACAGGGGCCCATGACAGATTACGGGCCTGGCAGCAGCATGAGGAGTCGGTACGGGGGCCCATGGCAGATTACGGGCCTGGCAGCAGCATGAGGAGGCGGTACAGGGGCCCATGGCAGAGTGGCGGAGCGTAAGCAGCTAAAATTGAAGGCCATACAGAGGCCTATGTTAAAAAGTCCCCCCAGCAGCAGCGTGGGGAGACGACTATCAAGAGTCCAATGGCAGAGTGGCGGAGCAGAAGCAGCTTCAATTGAAGGCCATACACAGGCCTAGGTTTAAAAGTCCCTCACAGTTAATTCCAATAACGAACTCTACTCCTCCGTGCAATCTACTTACGAGACCCTGGGCAGGTCTGGGTCCAATTTGTGGTAGAGACTGGTTTTGTTCAGCCATGCTTGAGCGAGTAATAACAGGTCTGTGCTGCCCTTTGGTGTCTGGCTTAATGCGCACAACACTGAACGTCCCAGCATTTGTCAACGATTTGCCGTTAAGTGATGCAAACCCGCTGAACCACGTTCATGAGGAGCCGGTACAGGGGGCCATGAATCAGTATGGACCTGGCAGCAGCGTGAGCAGACGACAGAGGCACATGGCGCAGGGTGGCGGTGTAGGCAGCATTATTCTGAAGCCATACACAGGCCTAGGTTAAAAAGCGGAAGCCGTCAGCAGCGTGAGCAGACGACAGAGACACATGGTGCAGGGTGGCGGTGGATGCAGCAGTATTCGGAAGCCAAACACAGGCCTCGGTTAAAAAGCGGAAGCCGTCAGCAGCGTGAGCAGACGACAGAGGCACATGGCGCAGGGTGGCGGTGGAGGCAGCAGCAATGGAAGGCCATACAGCACCCTATCACAAAATGGAACCCACCAACAGTGTAAGGAGACCTGAAAGTGGCACATGGCAGAGTCTGGCGATGAAGTCAGCAGCAATGGGAGGCCGTACAGGGACCCATGACACACTCTGGACCTGGCAGCAGCAAGAGGAGGCGGTACAGGGGCCCATGGCAGAGTGGCAAAGCGTAAGCAGCTTAAATTGAAGGCCATACAGAGGCCTATGTTAAAAAGTCCCCCCAGCAGCAGTGTGGGGAGACGACTATCAAGAGTCCAATGGCAGAGTGGCGGAGCGGAAGCAGCTTCAATTGAAGGCCATACACAGGCCTAGGTTAAAAAGTCCCCCCAGCAGCAGTGTGGGGAGACGACTATCAAGAGTCCAATGGCTGAGTGGCGATCCGGGAAGTCAGCGTTGTGATTGCAGATGCAATGCAGAGATTCTATGAGGTGATGCCGTGGGTGCGAAGAAGATCATATACCGTCGTACTTCCATCCATAAGACGGAACAACCTGCGAACCGGGAGCTTTATTGCCCTGACCCGCTGAGCAGCTTCTGAGGTGGTAGAGGCGGACATCTTTGCTGGACCAAGGACGTGCAAACGTGGAGGCAAAAGCGGCGTGACCTGTCCAAGTTGCTGGTGCGGCTGTGCCGGCACCACGTTCACCCAGTGGGCCGTAAATGACATGTACTGTCCCTGACCGTAGTTACAGCTCCACACGTCGGCGCTGCCGTGCACTTTGGCAGAGACCGACATGCTCAAAGACTGGCCCACCATCTCTTCTACATGTGAATGCAGGGCTGGCACTGCCTTTTTGGCGAAGAAATGCCGGCTTGGCACTCTCCACCGCGGCTCGGCACAAGCCATCATTTCTCGGAAAGGTGCTGAGTCCACCACTTGGAAAGGGAGGGACTGCAGCACCAGCAACTTGGACAGGAGGACGTTCAGCTTCTGCACCGTCGGGTGCGTGCTCGCAAACTGTTGTCTCTTGGAAACGGATTCCAAGAAAGACTGCTGACGGAATCCGTGAAGAGGAGTAGCAGGAGAAGGAGCATCTGAACGAGCGGAAGATGGCAACGAGCGACAACTCCCCTCAGCAGAGGTGTTGGAGCCTTGACTGGCTGATAGAGGGCGATTGACGTCGGGTGACGGAGCAAGTAACGGAGCGGGTGATGGAGCGGGGGCTGGGGCAGGCAGAACCGCCGTATCTTTATCACGGTTTTCCCAGGCCACCGAATGGCGACGCTGCATATGCTGACGCAACGCTGTAGTCCCAACATTGGCCCCCTGGCCACGCTTGACTTTCTGGCCACATAGTCGACATACGGCTACGTTTACTTCCTCGGGCGGCTTGACGAAAAATTGCCACACCGCCGAGTAGGAAACTTTGCCCCCGCTACTCCTCACTGGCTGACTGCTACTTCCTCCGTGCACACCGGCACCACTACTGGCCGTGGTGGTAGGCTGCAGTGGAGCTGGTGCTCTACTCCGTGGCCGTTTGCCTCCACTGACACTGCTGCGACCCTGCTGCCTCCTGGGCAACCCACCGACTGTTTTGCTCGCTGGCAAGCTGGCACCCTCTTCTCCTGATGATGCGGAAGCAATAGCCTGATGACGACGAGGCTGCCAAGTGCGATCAGCCTCATCATCATCAATTAGGATCTCCGCGTCACTACTGCGTGTGGGTCAGGAGACAGACCTGTCTCTAGACCGGCTACCGAGCCACTCTCCTCGCCAGTACTTCTTCGCCTGGCTGCTGAAGAGGCGGATGTCTCCCCCCGTTCCTGACCGCCCTCTGTTAGCTCTTCCTCACTGTACAGTGGGGCTGAGCCCACAGCATGCGATACTTCGCTTGGTGAGGGAACACCAAAGGACAGGGGCAGGTAGAGGACACGTGATTTCAGTGGGCTTGCTCCCGGGCCATGCCAACTAACGGTTGTGTCTGACGTACCCACCGACCGTTGGCTGTAGGTGTCAGAGGTGACCTGGGAAGAGGAAGACGACCGAGTCAACCAATCGATGATGGCAGGGTTATCGGTGGAGACACGACCGCTGGATGACACCGGGAGCACTGGCCTCTGGCTGCGACTAGTGCTGCCTCGACCCCTTCCTCTGCTGCCACGTCTGCTCGCTCCTGAAACATTGCCTCCTCTGCCACTCCTCTGCGTGTTGTCTGACATGCTCTTTAATTCAATAAGCACCCCAAAAATAAAACCGGATTTAACTCTTTGAATGTACAATAGTGGTTGTGAAGCAGAAAGTCAGTTTATTTAGCACAATCGGTCAATTGCAGCTTGCCGTTGGCTGGAAACTGTACGTTTATGTCACTGGAATGCACTAATCACCCAAAAAATATTACCGCCACCCGGCGTGTATATGGATTTAACTCTTTGAACGTACAATAGTGGTTGTGAAGCAGAAAGTCAGTTTATTTAGCACAATCGGTCAATTGCAGCTTGCCGTTGGCTGGAAACTGTACGTTTAGGTCACTGGAATGCACTAATCACCCAAAAAAAAATTACCGCCAGCCGGCGTGTAAATGGATTTAACTCTTTGAACGTACAATAGTGGTTGTGAAGCAGAAAGTCAGTTTATTGTACACAATCGGTCAATTGCAGCTTGCCGTTGGCTGGAAACTGTACGTTTCTGTCACTGGAATGCACTAATCACCCAAAAAATATTACCGCCACCCGCCGGCGTGTAAATGGATTTAACTCTTTGAACGTACAATAGTGGTTGTGAAGCAGAAAGTCAGTTTATTTAGCACAATCGGTCAATTGCAGCTTGCCGTTGGCTGGAAACTGTACGTTTATGTCACTGGAATGCACTAATCACCCAAAAAATATTACCGCCAGCCGGCGTGTAAATGGATTTAACTCTTTGAACGTACAATAGTGGTTGTGAAGCAGAAAGTCAGTTTATTTAGCACAATCGGTCAATTGCAGCTTGCCGTTGGCTGGAAACTGTACGTTTATGTCACTGGAATGCACTAATCACCCAAAAAATATTACCGCCAGCCGGCGTGTAAATGGATTTAACTCTTTGAACGTACAATAGTGGTTGTGAAGCAGAAAGTCAGTTTATTTAGCACAATCGGTCAATTGCAGCTTGCCGTTGGCTGGAAACTGTACGTTTATGTCACTGGAATGCACTAATCACCCAAAAAAATTACCGCGCCGCCGGCGTGTAAATGGATTTAACTCTTTGAACGTACAATAGTGGTTGTGAAGCAGAAAGTCAGTTTATTTAGCACAATCGGTCAATTGCAGCTTGCCGTTGGCTGGAAACTGTACGTTTCTGTCACTGGAATGCACTAATCACCCAAAAAAAATTACCGCCAGCCGGCGTGTAAATGGATCTAACTCTTTGAACGTACAATAGTGGTTGTGAAGCAGAAAGTCAGTTTATTTAGCACAATCGGTCAATTGCAGCTTGCCATTGGCTGGAAACTGTACGTTTATGTCACTGGAATGCACTAATCACCCAAAAAAAATTACCGCCAGCCGGCGTGTAAATGGATCTAACTCTTTGAACGTACAATAGTGGTTGTGAAGCAGAAAGTCAGTTCATTTAGCACAATCGGTCAATTGCAGCTTGCCGTTGGCTGGAAACTGTACGTTTCTGTCACTGGAATGCACTAATCACCCAAAAAAAATTACCGCCAGCCGGCGTGTAAATGGATCTAACTCTTTGAACGTACAATAGTGGTTGTGAAGCAGAAAGTCAGTTTATTTTGCACAATCGGCAAACTGCAGCACCAACTGTGCACGACAGCCACCAAAAAAAAAAAAAGGGTGTATGTCACTTTAAATTTTCGATTCTTTGATAGCTGTGGCCCTAAGTAACAATTCTGTGTCCCTGAGTAACGATTCTGTGTCCCTGAGTAACGATTCTGTGTCCCTGAGTAACGATTCTGTGGCCCTAAAGTCTCTGTGGCCCTAACTCTGTCCCTTAATACACACAGGTCTGTCTCTCTTGAATGACCGGAGGCTAATGGAGAATTCTAAGATGGCCGCGATTTATAGCTCCGCCATTACACAGTGCTGGCTGGCTGCTGATTGGCTAATGCGATCACATGTCATGAATGCATTATGGGTGAGCGCGCCTTGTCTGCGCGCCTTCCCAGAGATCCCCGCCCCATCTTCTCTGTTCATTTTCTCCGTCGCCACACATGTCGCGCCGCCATTTTTGGGAAAATTCGATTCGTGCATCCGAAGTTTGCTAATATTCGGATTCGTCGCGAATAGAATTTTTCCAAATCTTCGGAACGAATTCCACTTCGTCATGTTCGATTCGCTCATCTCTATTTAAAACCATATGTAAAAAAGGTTTGTTATTGCAAGGTTCACGATATCTTCTCACAATTTCTAGTAAGATAATATCTATACAATTACTGTACAATATATGCACAAATTAACAACTTATGCTTTAATTAGATCCCCAAGATCAACACACTTCTCATATCTAGGTTCTTCAGGACCATCCCAAAACAACTTATTATTCATATAATCCATACATTTTTAATATACACTATGTTGCAAAAAGTATTGGGATAAACATCCAAATCATTGGATTCAGGTGTTCCAATCACCTCCATGGCCACAGGTGTATAAAATCAAGCACCTAGGCATGCAGACTGCTTCTACAAACATTGTGAAAGAATGGGTTGCACGCAGGAGCTCAGTGAATTCCAGCTTGGTACTGTGATAGGTTGCCACCTGTGCAATTAGTCCATCCATGAAATTTCCTTGCTACTAAATAGTCCACAGTCACCTGTTAGTGGTATTATAGCAAATGGAGGCAACTGGGAACAACAGTAACTCGCAGACCTTGTAAAATGACAGAGAGGGGTCAGCGCATGCTGAAGAGCACAGTGCGCAGAAGTCACCAACTGTCTGCAGAGTCAATAGCTAAAGACCTCCAAAATTCATGTGACCTTCAGAATACCACAACAGTGCATAGAGAGCTTCATAGAATGGATTTCCATGACTGAACAGCTGCATCCAAGCCTTACATCACCAAGTACAATGCAAAGTGTCATATGCAGAGGTGTAAAGCACACTGCCACTGGACTCTAGAGCAGTGGAGATATGTTCTCTGGAGTGATGAATCACTTTTCTCTGTCTGGCAATCCGATGGACTTGTCTGGGTTTGGCGGTTGCCAGGAGAACAGTACTTGCCTGACTGTTTTGTGTCAAGTGTAAAGTTTGGTGGAGGGGGGTTAAGGTGTGGGGTTGATTTTCAGGGGTTGGGCTTGGCCCCATAGTTCCAGTGAAGGGAACTCCTAAGGCATTAGCATACTAAGGCATTTTGGATAAGTTCATGCTCTCAACTTTTTGGGAACAAGTTGGGGATGGCCCCTTCCGGTTCCAACATGACTGCGCACCAGTGCACAAAGCAAGGTCCATAAAAACATGGATAAGCGAGTTTGAGGTGGAGGAACTTGACTGGCCTGCACAGAGTCCTGACCTCAATCCAATAGAACACCTTTGGGATGAATTAGAGCGGAGACTGTGAGCCAGGCCTTTTCATCTGACATCAGTGCCTGACCTCACAAATGCACTTCTGGAAGAATTGTCAAACATTCCCATAGACACACTCTTCTAAACCTTGTGGACAACCTTCCCAGAAGAGTTGAAGCTGTTATTGCTGCAAAGGGTGGGCCAACTCAATATTGAACCCTACAGACTAAGATTGGGATGCCATTAAAGTTCATGTGTGTGTAAAGGCAGGTGTTCCAATACTTTTGGCAATATAATGTATATGTTTTTCCTTTTGTATAGATCTGATTACATTTATTATTTCGTAGCACATTTATGTATTTAGTGCTACCTTGGTTTTATGTCAACTATGTCTTCTAGCCAAAAGATATGGAGAATTGCCAGTGAAATTGAATATATCCACCTAATTCTTTTTTTTTTTTTGCTTTAAAAATCTGGTCACCATTGCCACCAAATTTTACTACTGCTTCTGGTTCACTATCTTCCCAGCCAAGAAAAATATATATATACTATCCCCAGGCTCCTCTAGAGTACTGATTAATTGCTTATATCCAATATACACAACAAAAATTTACTTAAAAGACATAACAGACAATAGTGCAACAGGATGTGAGCTTTCCTGCTAAGTAAAAGCAAAATACACAGCTTGTCAGATATACATACAGTAGTGAGTAAAGTCTGAAAAAACAATATAACTTGCAGACTCCAGGCAGCACAGCAACAGAGTCTCCTAAAATGTAAATTAATTTAATTTGCTTACTGAACAAGTGCCATGCTATCTTTTTCCCAGTACACAACACAAGAAAAGCCACCCTGTGCATGCATTTCAATTTTTTTTTATAAGGAGGTAATTCCCATGAAATTTATTCTTAATGTTTGGCTGCTGACAAAGGCAGAAAAGCTGTTTACTAGATAAGTGATCACCCTGAACCTTGTCAATCTAAGAAATGTATATATGGCAGAAAACCTGTGAAAATAGAGCTACAGTTGTGGCCAAAATTATTCAACCCCCACTGAAATTGAGTGTTTTGGCCAGTTTGACATTGCTTTTGATCATTCAGTCATCTTGCTTACATTTACATTAAAGAGGCACTTGTAGGTCAGACAAATATAACATAACAGTTATAATGAAATAACCACAAATGTCTTTTCTGTGCTCACAGCATTATCAGTTTTATTCAACCCCCAAGTGACATTCAATCTTAGTACTTAGTACAGCATCCTTTTACAGTTATAACAGCTTTTAAACGTGAAGCATAGCTTGACACAAGTGTCTTGCAGCGATCTACGGGTATCTTCGCCCATTCTTCATGGGCAAAGGCCTCCAGTTCAGTCACATTCTTAGGCTTGCGCACTGCAACTGCTTTCTTTAAGTCCCACCAGAGGTTCTCAATCGGATTTAAGTCTGGTGACTGCGATGGCCACTCCAAAATGTTCCAGCCTTTCCTCTGCAACCATGCTCTAGTGGACTTGGAGGTATGCTTGGGATCATTGTCCTGTTGAAAGGTCCAACGTCTCCCAAGCCTCAGGTGTGTGACGGACTGCATCACGTTTCCATCCAATATCTCCTGGTACTGAAGAGAATTCATGGTACCTTGCACACGCTGAAGCTTCCCTGTACCTGCAGAAGCAAAACAGCCCCAAAGCATGATTGACCCTCCACCATGCTTCACAGTAGGCAAGGTGTTCTTTTCATCATAGGCCTTGTTCTTCCTCCTCCAAACATAGCGTTGATCCATGGGCCCAAACAGTTCTAATTTTGTTTCATCAGTCCACAGAACACTATCCCCACAACTTTTGTGGTTTGTCCACATGGCTTTTGGCATACTGCAGTCGACTCTTCTTATTCTTTGGAGACAGCAAGGGGGTACGCCTGGGAGTTCTGGCACGGAGGCCTTCATTACGCAGTGTGCGTCTTATTGTCTGGGCTGAAACTTCTGTACCCACATCTGACAAATCTTTTCTCAGTTCCTCAGCAGTCACACGGGGACTTCTCTCCACTCTACGCTTCAGGTAGCGCACAGCAGTCGAAGTCAGCATCTTCTTTCTGCCACGACCAGGTAGCGTTTCAACAGTGCCCTTTGCCTTGAATTTGCGAATGATGCTTCCTAAGGTGTCTCTTGGTATGTTTAACATCTTTGCAATCTTCTTATAGCCATTGCCCTTCCTGTGAAGAGAAATCACCTCTTCTCTTGTCTTCCTGGACCATTCTCTTGCCTTCACCATGTTTGTAACCACACCAGTAAATGTCTAGAAGGAGCTGAGTATCACAGTCATTTTAAAGCTGCCTAATTGGTGCTTATTATGCTTGATTGCTGCTCGGTGACATCCACAGGTGTTTTCAATACCTGATGGAAAGCACCTGTATGAACCTCTGTTCTTCAGAGTGGTAGTCTTTAAGGGGGTTGAATAATTGTGGCAATGAAGAAACCACATAAGAACCATTTACTACTGTATTACATAAACAATTGATGTCATTTTAGTTGCATTTGGGTAGTTACAACGTCCTTGTAGGATTTGATTCTGAATACAATTCCAAATGTACACTATAGTCCCTAAACCCCTTTACAGCATTGGGGGTTGAATAATTTTGGCCACAACTGTATGCATCACTCAGCATCCAGAGCACCTACCTTGAACATAATTGCCTAATAGACCCTAATCATGCAGGTCACTTTGCTCATCCCTATTTAAATAAATTCACCTTCAATCCCCCAACCACTGCAGCAGCATTATTCTCATTGGCCCAATTTAGTGTTGTCTGAAAATGTTAACACCACATGTTGATTTTAGCTTCTTTATCATAAATTCTCCCTCTTTAATGTGATGTGATGTAATTTATGGTAAGAAACATTTGTTAGTCTTTTGTTTCTTGATTTTGTAACAGTTCACTACTATTACCCTGTCTTTGCTGTTTCTTATGCCTTCTTTGTGGATGTTTCCCTCCCCAGGGGCGGACTGACCATTTGGAAACTCGGGTCAGTAGGGGGCCCCATGATATGCCCCTGGTACCTTTTTCATAGGCTTTTTTGAGTTTGGGCAAGGACACAGGGGCCCCATAATCCCCTATTGCCTGGGGGCCCATGAATTGTCAGTCCGCCCCTATCCCTCCCACCTCTTATCCTTTCCAATAATCCTTTTGACCACCTGGATTAGGCTGTTTTGGTAACAAGCATCTTTTTTCCCATGATCTTGATTTCATTAATTAGATCTAGGTGTTCCTTTTTTCCAAAACTTTGTACAGGTTTTCATTTCTTCTCCTAATGCCTATAAAGGCATCTAAAACTCCCTGCCAGAGACTATGAACGCTCTTTTTGTCTCCATACTATAGAAGATTGAATTGTACTGCTGTTGCAGTTTTATGTTATCCTTTATTGTATTTTTGTAATTTGGAGGTTCCATCTTTTCATTTGAGGGCAAGTAAAAATAGGGTGTTGGCAATCTTTTTTCTGTATAGTTTATTGTTATCATTTTTCAAATAAAGTATTACAAACGTGTGTCAATTCATCAATGTTAATACAAAAAGACAGGTAATATACAAATGAAATTCCTCATTATCCTATTGCAAATTTTCTTAACAAAGACAAAAAGTTGACAGGATCATCAGCTGTATAAATAGGTATTCCAACCCAATGACACATTGTCACAATGTCACATATAAGAAATATAGAAGACAATAGAACCTGCTAAGAAAGAAAAAGGGAATATCAAGGAAGAGAAGAAAGAGTCACCAGAAGGGATGTAAACCATATGTAGATTATATAATCGAGCACCAGACACAGAGCACATAAATCAGACATATTTTAGGCTTCACAGTGAGCTTGTATGCATACCACTATCTCAAGATTATAGCAGTTTCTTCTGACAATGAGGATATGGGGGAGACTTTATGATAAAAGTCACAGCATGTCTAAGTCACACACCCATCTCATTCAATTGTTATAGGGAAAAAGCTATCAGGAATTGACCCAACTTTGAGAGTTTAGGGAACAGGAATTAATTATGGTCTATGATATTGTTAAATTAGTATATTCATCCTGATCAAATGTCTCGAAATTTATCTTGCTTTTCTTGGGATGATGGTGATCCTAATCTGGATCTCCCTCCATGGTTGACTCTCTACTCACAACATTAAGTAATAACTCCCTCCACTGGAGAATCAGACTGGGTGGTTTTGACCTTCTTCTTTAGTGACTATTCATGGAACCTTGTGGATTGAAATGTGGGAGGAATGTAAGCACCAATAATCGATTCTGCATTAATAAATAACTCATAATATCATAAGTCAGTGTATAGATCTAACCCTCCTTATTCTTAATGTACTTTCTCTGTCTTGGTTATATTTATCTATTCAGACATTCATAGTTCCCATTACTGTCAATGTATCTTGTTTTTTAACCTGACCACTCATACTTTCTAATTATTTATAGAAGATATCCTTGTCCTGTGTAGAGCCAGTGTCATTTGGAGCATAGCAAAATATAATAACTGCATTCCTCACTCAGTGTTGAACGCGTACTATTATTAGCCCCTTTGAGAGAGGTCATTATTTAATGAAGCTCCTCTTGGCTGACTTACTCAGCAGGTACATGACCCCTGCCAATGCAGACAGTTCCATCACAATGAGTGTCTTCTGTCCATACTTATTTCTGTATAAAAATCTACTTAGTTAACTTTGGATCGAATGCACTATTAATTACA